ATGGACATGGAAAAAAAAGAGTCACATAGAAAGTGGACCTGTCTTTCCCAAGGCCATAAAACAAGCCCATGACCAAGTCAGCTTCAAGAGTTCAGGAGTGCCCCATCATTGTGTCACACATCTGCATTCAGTCCATCAGATGATGCCACCACCTTGGGAGCTCCAGAGCTCACCTCTCACCTCCCCAGTGCAGAGGAATTTAGCACATCACGTGTGAAAGCTCATGTGCCTCTGCTGAAAAAGGCAACAGCATCTTTGCATTCCTGGAGGTATGAATACCTGACAGGATAAAACCCAACCGGGCAGGGAAATGGCACACGTGAGCAGCAGTCACTGTGCTCCAGGGAGCTGTGGTTTTTGATGAGGTAATTCCAGCAGGGCGGATGGAACAGCTAATGTGGCAGAAGAACCATTAATTAAACCCTATACAAAAGATCTAACTATCCCCAGCCCCCATAGCACAGCCCTTAATTCCCTCTTCATTCGTCACATGCAAAACCAAGGAAGGAATGAGTAATATTTGCTTTTGTTTTCATTGTATCATTGGAAGTGACACGATCATTATTTCACTGGAGGTTCAAAGCAGCATTAGCATGATTGCATCGGACTTGTACCTATTAAATGGAGGGACATGAGCTCCTCTGAGCTGTCAAATGCAACATACACAGCCTTGCACTGCAACAGAGACGTTCTAGCTGAATTTTACACATTTTTTTTCTCCTTTATGCAAATCAAAACATCACACAGTGGTTTACTTGCAGTACAGAAAGGATCTCTTGCACCTGGAAAGCTACATGCCAACTCCATGCTTTATTCTACCTCTTTCATGGAAAAGGCTTTCGAAATCACATTCCATTGTACAGCACAATGTTATTATTCTGTCCTTGTTGTCCTAAAAGCAGAAGCTTACAGGCTGGAGTGAAATCTTCTGACTCTACTGTGCTGGACAAAAGGTCAGAGAGATAAAGAAGCTCTCCAAGAGCTGTTAATGCCAGTACGAGGCAGAAATCTGAAATCATTTGAAGCAGCACTGTTTCTGTTTCCATCCTCCACGAGATATTTCAGCTTTCACAGCCTGTGCATGAAAACCAGAGGGTTTTGCACTACTAGGTAGGAAATGTCCATTGACTGCTTGAACACAGTGACCAGGAAAAGCACAGTTCTCCCCTGACCATTTGGCCCAGGAGCCAGCTGTCCCCGTGTTGGCTCTGTCACCTCACCCAGATCACCCAGGGCACAGCAGTGCACAGCTCTGGAGCAGGATGGGTGTTGGACCTGGTCTTCCAAGGACAGGTCTTTTACTGGTGAGAAAAAAGGGATTGGGATACGAGTTTATCAGTTTGCAATTGCACTTTTATCTCCTCTGCATCTAGAGAAACCGATGGAGACAACAGCTATACAAAAATGATCATTTCAGAACTCTGAGTCCCTCCCCAGGTGTGTGCCTTACATGGGCTGAAAAACTGACAAATAAAGAGGCTGCTGGAAAAAAGCATCCTCTGAAAAGCTGTTTCACTGTCCCCACAGAGCTGTTCCAGCTGTAGCACCTTCCAGTGTCCCTAAACCACAGCATCTTCCAGCCTTCTGGCTACAATTCCCTCTTTGTAGGGCTGCGAGTGTTGCACAGAGAGACAGGATCATCCGAGATGCTGCTGAGAGTCTATTTTTAGAGCAAGTCATTTGATGAGCTGTTCAGCACCTTATTTATTGCTGTCTCCAGCTGGGGAGCTAAGCAGCATCCAGACACCTCTGCCGCTAAAACCAGAGCTCAGAAGCAGTGACCTCTATTTGATCACATTTTATGTACTGACAGAGAGAAAAACAACAGCACATTATGCTGTCAAGGCTAATAGCTGCTAATTAGGGTGAGTGACATACGACCCCTTTTATGTCCAAAGACACAGAAGTCACAGTACAAATTAAAAAAAAAAAAAAAAAAAGTTGAAATTCTGCATTCGGTGTCTTTTTCAGTCTAAAGAGTGATCACTTAAAAGTAATTTCCTATTTTGTTTTAGGGGTTTTTTTCCTAGTTTGTCTGTTTAAGGCTTTACTTGAACTTTACATTAAGTGTGCATCAAGCATCTCGGTGTTCACAGTGTCTCCTTGGTAAGAAACAGGGCTTTGAAGGGACCCCAGAAGAAGAAAAGGGGACAAGCTGTAGCTGTGTCATTGGAAATGTGTGGGGCTCCAGAATCACTGTTGGGCACCAAAGGGATGGCAGGAGCAAGGCAGCTCCTCCTGAAGGTTGCACACCCCAGTGCTCATGTGGCAGCAGGTCTGTCTCACCTAGCCCAGCCAGTAAACAGAGCAATGCACCCAGCAACCTAAAACTGGCTCAATCTGTTGCCATCTAACTGTATTCCTGGCAAAATAAGTAGAAAAGATGTTTATCTCTAGGCATGTTCCACATCTAACCCAGCCAATGCTCAGCATCCATCAGCACAGACAGGCGTGGAACCACGTACAGGGCTGTGTTTACTGCAGGTTTCTGTACAACTCTCTTGGATTATTAATGTGTGTAACGCCGGAGCACTGCTGGGTGTTGGGTCTACTCAGAACATGGGGCACCTCCTGCTCTGAAGATCTAAGCACCTACTCAACGAAGCAGGCAAAGGATAAGCAACAAATTGACATTTCATAAATGGAGAGCCAAGGTACAGAAAGCTGAAAGGGTTTACTAGAGATCATATTAAAAGTCTACTGGATTTGCAGCCTGCCGTTGTTTTCTTACACACTGAAACATCCCTTTGAATGTTAACAGTTACCTAACTTCTGTCTTCTTGCTGCACTAATGAGATTATTGATGAATTACTTAAAATGCACTTTCTGTAGAATAAATTTTTTAGGTGACAAGTTGCCTGGTACTAAACAAATTAATGGGAAAGTTGAGTTCTCTCATTCCAGTCTGGGGAAAAGAAGTTTTGGGTTTAAAATGCCCAATTAGTAGTAACTGAAATCCAATATTTGATATTATTTGGTGCTGTATCTGTTATAAATATGCCATGTGGCCATTAGTAGTAACTCGTGGTACCATCAGGACAAAAATAGTCACTCCAGCAATTAATATTGCAGTAGCTGCATATGTCAATACAGGAGTGGAACAATTGCAACTTTATAGGTTCATTCCAAACCCCATCATAGTCAAAGGGAGACCTCCCAATAAATGCCAGGGGATCTAGATCGAGCTCCAGCTGGGTTTGACTCTGATCAAAGAGCTAGGACATTCCCAAACATTTGTATCACTGACATCAGAGCCCAATAAAGCCAGAGAACAGGGCTGCAAGTGCACGACGTGCCGTGCAAACCCAGAGGGACGAAGCCAACAGCTCCACGGTGGATCCAGAAGTGTGTTACAACTTTTGGGTCTTGTTCCAGCCAGTGCTAAATTTCTCATTGCAGTATCTCTCGTAATAGTTTTGCAAATGAAGTTCTACATCTCCCCAGCAAAATCCTCAACACTTGGAGACAGTTTGATCTTTCCTGATGGTGTTTTAAAGCACCTTCTCTGAAGTCTCAAGTAATGAGGTAACTCTCAGTCTGTGTGGAAGAACAAAACTCTCTGAGCCAGACTGTGAGCCAGACACTCCTTATTATACTTTCTACAAATGCACAGAAGGGCTTGAATGCTCGATGCTCCAGGTCACCAAGATCATGCTTGAGGCATCTGATTAATTTTCAGCCTTATTGTGTTAAGGGGCAGCAGAAGAAAAGTAAGAAAGATTTTTTTTCTTTTTTTTTAGAACAGTATTAAATGAGGCAGAAGACCTTGTCACTTAGCAAGAGCTTTTAAACTATCTTTGCATAAAGCAGCAGCTAAAAAGTTAATAGACACAAATAGCATTGTATTGATTTGAGGTATTCTGAGGAGTTTTAATGCAGGTGAAGGCAAAAGACAGATCCTACTCGGGATAATTAAGCCTTAGCTAGCGAAGTCTGAAGCATTTAAAAAAACCACAAAAACTGAAAATAACAAAGAAAAGCTGTAACTGAGCCTGGAACCAAGCCATTCCTGGGACACAGGCGAGTGTGACTGAAGTCTGAAGCATTTAAAAAACCACAAAAACTGAAAATACCAAAGAAAAGCTGTAACAGAGCCTGGAAACAAGCCATTCCTGGGACACAGGCGAGTGTGACAGCCCAGCCATGATAACCTGTCACCCAGCTGCTTGCCCACACTGTCTATCCACCAAGCCTAGAAGAAGAGCACATGGGGGACTCTCAGGAGCAAATAGTTAGCATGCTATAATTTCTGCTTTTATTCAGAGACCCTCATACCAACGAGTTCTTGAATGGGTGCAAGGAGTTCAACTGATTTTTTTTATTTTTTTATTTTTTTTTTTTAAAGGGTGTTTTGAAATAGTTGGTTTTCCCCTTGGACATAAATTATTCTTAGCACAACTAAGCTATGCTCCCAAAAGCTCTTTGTTGGTCATGTACAGATATCAAAGGTAAAAATAAATCCTCAACTGTAAATCATTTTGCTTTTCAGTATTTGCTGCATCAAACACCAGAACATCCCAAAGAATAGCGTGGAAATCCCAAACACCATCTGACAGCAACTAGGGGCTTCTCCAGATTTCGAGACCCCTGCTGTAGGCAGGTGACAAACCTGCTTGTGGTGGGATTTCACAGAGGACAACACGTCCTCCCAAGTCACAGAGTTACTTTGGGAATTCCTGTAGCCCTGTGGTTTGTACACAGTCATTTCAGTTTCAGACATTTATTTTTTTTTTAATCTATTGCTATTTGGCTGCTTGCTTTTCCCTTTCCTCCAGATGAAAATTACTTGAGTGAATATCGATATTAACATACATTTGCACACAAGCATGTAATCCGTGGCTCACTGAAAGCAAGTCTGAATTCAGCCAGTGGCTCTGCTCATCCTGTTCCTGTCGTACTCCGGGGACATTAGGTACAAACAAGACTTTTGTTACATGACCAGAAGGATCAGCGCTTGTCTGAAGGAGGGGTTTCCCTTTTTTTTCTCTTTCCCCCTCTAGTTATGGTGACATGGTGCCCAAGACAATTGCTGGGAAGATATTTGGCTCCATCTGCTCCCTGAGCGGGGTGCTGGTCATTGCTCTGCCGGTTCCAGTCATTGTTTCCAACTTCAGTCGGATTTACCACCAGAACCAGAGAGCCGACAAGCGGCGAGCGCAGAAGGTAAGTCATCCCGCGTGGCCACCTCTTCCCAAAGCTCAGCGGGAAACCTCAGCCCCTGCTTGTCCCCATGGGGTTTGTGGGACACCAGTGACAATTCTGAGCGCTGCAGAGAACACCCATCCATCCCCTCACACGTGTGCAGCCTTCCCTTCACACACAGCTGCAGCTACCCCCAGCCACAGCCACAAGCTCCTTCATTGCACACACATTTTAAACATCAGAAGTGATGGGGCTTTCATTGCTCACCTTTGCTACATACCAGTCTGAAATAAATACACACATAAACCGTTAAAGCATTAACAGGAGCTGTTTATCTTTCTGGCTGCTTGGTTGCTCTTGTCTCTCTGCCCTGGAGTTTTGAAAACACCCATCCAGAAACATGTACTTACCAGTACACACACTCCCTCAAAGCTGCAGGCTGTAATACAGGAAAAACACTGGGAATACACAAAAGCCCCTGGAAATGTCAGGGGATTACTGATCATTCCAAAATCTGAACAGTTTTTATCAGTATAAGCTTACTGATTCACTGGGAAAGTGTAACAGATTTATTATCTCTCTATCTCAGTCTGCTAAATGACACCAAAACCAGAATCAGGTTTTTACAACAACTGCAAACTAAAGGTCTGAGGTTTGGGGTTTTTTTTTTCTCCCTATGGAATGCTGTCTGCTAGAAATTCAAGACTCAGGGGACCTGATGGAGAACAGTAGTAGAAAGATGTGCTATTTCTGCTTCAGGCAAGCATCTGGGCCGTGCCTACTTCTTGCATCTCAGGGAGCTGACAGCAGAGAGCTGAGATACAAGACCTACAAAACCACAAAATTTGGCAGTCAAAACACAACGAGGAGAGTAGCAGAGACAGAACCCTGCAGGGAGGAGGTGCAGTCTCCAGCAGCCTGGGTTTTTCCTGGGTGTTACAAACACCTGCGTTAGGTTCATACATGTGAAATACCAACCTGCAATAATTTTGGGAGGTGTTTTTGAGGGAGAGTTGTTTCTGATTAGTCATGCAACACACCATAGATGAAAAAAATCTAATAAAGGTATCATAATGGAAGTCCACTTGGTACCACACACTGTTCAGTCAGCCACTGGACAGGGGGAAACCATTGTGGATCATTACCTTCATTTAATGAATTTAAGTGATTTGCAGAGTGGGTTGCCTCATGTGAGGCTGAACCCAAGCATAAGGCACCTGGGTTTAACTTGCGACAGGGACGTGTGAGGTGTCAGTGCACGGGAAGGGCTGGAGAACTCACGTGTAGATTCATTAAGAGGACAGTGTGCAATAGCCCATTTAAATAACTGCAAACTGAGAGGAAGCACTTGTCCTCCTGCAAGGGCACATCAACACAGTGAGAGACAGAACCTGCGTTACAGCACAGCCTCGGCAGCAGATAAATGGACAAGACAACTAAACAAACACGATTTGTGCATAACCATGATCACCATACAAAGAAGCTCCAGAACAGACTCCAGATCTGTGCTCTCGGAGGAGGTTGTCCCTCTCTCCAGGCAGCACACCAAAGGTTCTTGTTCTAATTCACCTTTTCCCTTATTTGTGGGACTGTGATCCACTTGGTGACAAGGAGATGTACCACCACCTTTGATGCCAATATGATTGATTGCAGCTTTTATAAGGTTTGCTGTATTGACACACACAGTGTATAATTTGCCCCTATTTGAATTTCTAATTCCCTTGATATTGGATGAATTTCTGGGTGAATAAAGTTTTCTCAAGTCAGAAGTGTGAGTAATTTTCACATGATCATCACTGCATGAGTACTAAAGAGAACAAAAGAGACAGAAGCACATTAACGTCAGCTCACTGGAGATGGTCAGGACGTACACAGGGACACTGAGAATCTGCTTTGTTAGCAGACTTGGTCCAGTATCAGCCTCCAGTGAATCGAATCCCTTCCTCAGAAACAAGAAAGTTTTAGTAATAGTTAAAACTCTGTACCTATGTAGTTAAAGGTACAAAGGCATTTGCATGGCTTTTTCAGGAAGGTTGGAAATAGCTCCTTCCATCTCCAGTCCCTGCCTATGAAGAGCTCACCAGTAGCTGCTCCTTATAAGCAGAGTTTAGAAGACACAGCTTTGAAGATTTAAGACAGACATCTTTAAGTTTCTAGTGTGCTAAATAAATTCTTTTCCTCTTTTAATTGAAAAGTAAATAATTTGTAGAGCAGGTATTACCATTAATACTTTAGAAAAAGTTCTATTTAGTTCAAGAATCACAACTGTTATAAGGTACAAGCAGGTTTCAAGATTAGGCTATAGACAACATTGATTTATTTTTTCTGAACTCAGACTGAAATTTTCTAATGAGAAGTAATAAAGGCAAAAGTACTGTCTGAGCATCAAATTGGCTGGATGTGACATCCACAGATTTGAAGGCTGGGGCATGAGGAAGCCTGGGCTCCCTAGCACAGGGCAGGTTTCTGAGGGGCTGCACTCCAGAAAACAGGAAAACACAGCACATGCAAGTTGTCCCTCTGAGTTGTGATGTGCTCAGTCTTCACTTTGTCCCTGAATTGTTGAGAAGGCACTGGTCTAGCAGGGAAAGGTATTTAAATAGCATGAAAAAAATACCTGGAGGTGGCTGTAGCTCATCAGCATGTATCCTCCAACTAACTGAGGAGAAGAGATCCTTAAAAAAAAAAAAAAAAAAAAAAAAAAAAAGAACAAAAAAACCACCACCACCCACAAAAACACAAACAAAACTAAACTACCTGTGATTTAATCACCTGGAAGATAAATTATTCTTTGCCAAAACTGACTGCAAGAGAATTAATTACAAGGAGATCTGGCAATCCTAATTTATTGTGCTGTGTCATCAAATTTTGTCTTCTGGCATCCTGCAAGGACCAGGTCAGTCTGAATGGAGGATGAATTGATCATTCCTGACAAGGTTCATTTTGGTAAAATTGTTTGGGTTTTTTTTTTCCCCAAAGACTATTTTTTTTTCTTTTTGACTGATGTGCTAAGAATAGACCTTCCTGACTTTGAAACGATGCTGTTCTTCAGTGAATGTCACAGCCTTTGGTTTTAAAGGAGAATTTGACACTTAAAGGGCTTGACAATCGAATGACTTTGTAATTCAGATAGTGCTGGAGTCTCTGCTGTGCTCAGTTTGCAGCTTAGATGCAATGTGAAGCAGACAAGTATCTGGTGCTGGTTTCAGGACTACACCTCCCACTTTTCAATCCTTGAAAGAGAAAGCAGAGGCAGCTACTAACAGCTACTGAAATGCTGCTCCTTCAGCAGCAGTAGAAAAATTAAAGCAGTTTGTTGTTTAGAAGCTAGACTGAGGGAACACAGCCCCAAGCCACAGCCTTATTCCCACCAGAGCAGGGCAGTAGAGGAGTGCAGGGCTGAGGCTGCCTGATAACACAGTAGTGAGAGGAATAGATGTGGCCTTTGGGCTTAGTGCAAAGATCCCAGGAGGACAGATTGTTCTCCCAAGGTTTACAGGAATGCTGTAGACATCTGGACTCAGAGACTGGTCAAAAATCCTGCAAGAATGATTCTTCTTGAGTAAACTCCAGCTGCTGACAGGCAATGTCTTTAAGAGGAGAACCAATACCAAAATCAAAGGCTCTGTCTTTGCACAACCAATAACATAAAAAAGGAAAGTGCCTCCCCAAAAAATCCTCAGACTACTCCAATACAGTCCAACTAATTACAGCAGTTCGACCCCATCACCCCAAGTCCCATTCCCTGGGGAAACAGGATCTGGCAATAAACTGCACAGGAGCTCTCAGAAACGTGAGTTTGCTTAGGAGGGGGCCAGTGACTGACAAATATCAACGTGCACTAGCACAGCTTTTTGGTAAGAAAAAATGGTAAGACAGAAAAAAAATACTGTAACAAGGGCAATATGGAATTACAGGTGAAGCGTTTGCGGTCGTTAGCCCCAGCTCCCTGCACAGGTAAACAGACGTGCAGATGAAGACACTGAGTCCTCAAAGGCATATTTAAAGCAGTTTTTTAACAGTCTCGGAAGGCACATGGAAGCAGAGTGGCAGCTGAAATGTTTGGAAATAGCAACAACAGCCTAAAGCAAACCAGTCTCTGGATCAGTCCCCTTAGGGCTAAAATTTAGCCAACTGATCTGCTCTGGATCTTCTCAGTTTGGAGGAGAAGTGTTCAGAAAGGGGCCTCTTGCACACTGGGGTATGCCTCCTCACATCTGCACAACAGAGGAGGGAGAAATGTAAGTGCTCCGATGCTATGAAAATACCCTGTTTAAAGTGCATTTATCGTTTAATGGATAGATTTGCTAAATGAGCCAAGATACTGAAATGGCTGATAATCCCAGAGGGATTAACATGGTTTTAGTGGCACATTTCACTGAAACTGTCATCTACGAATATAAAACTTCAGTAATCACAGCGCTTGGTTTCAGGTCTGCAGTAGATATGCTTTTGAGGACTACAGCTTCTTAGTCTGTTCATTTCATTTATTATCTGGTGGCCTCTGACTCTATGAAAACAAGCAATGTACTGCAAAAGCCTTGAAATAGACTTCTCATTTCAGACTCCAGGCTATAAGTTTCCAGGAAAGAACCAAACATCCAGATTTAGGCAAGGAAAGGGCTACCCAGGACAAAACAATTTTGCAGAGCCACTCTCACATAAAACTGTAATATAGAACTGAAAACTGTAACGCTGGCTATCAAAGAGGAGATGGTATAAATCAGGTGAAGCTGAGAAGCAGCCACATTGCCTGGGGGATGAATTGAAGTGTCCCATCACAGAGCGGGTATCAGCAGAAGAAAGGAATGACGAGGCAAGGGAGAAGCTGTATCTTTTCAGATGGAAGTCGGTGAGAGGAAGTAGATGGAGGAAGGTTATTCCAGACAGCGAGAGCTACTCGTGAGATGGTTGCACACAAGCAGCTATGACTCTGCAGACAGATGAAGAGGTAACTATGGAGATGCCTAAAAGGGGCTTAAGCCAAAAGGAAGGAAGAGTAAGGACACAAACATCTTTCT